GCTCACCAATCACCACAAGTGTCTGCCGCCGGCGAAAGAGGCTGCCCGCTCACCAATCACCACAAGTGTCTGCCGCCGCCGCCACAATCCGCCACCAGTGACTCTGCCCCGACAGTGACTGCCGGCACCCCCGGCCAGTTACTCCGCCCCCGTCCACTGCCACCGTCCGCCCCTTTCATTGGCAAGTCACCGCAACCCAACCAAAGTCCTGGCCCTTGTCCACCATTGGCAACCACCACCTCCGGCGTCCACCAACTCCGGCCACCGCCGACGACCACCATACCCCAGCCTCCTGCCTCACCTAGCCTCTCCCCTGTGTCACCATAGCTCCAACCTCATATCAGCCCTCTGCCCGACCTCCTTCCTAACCCCAACCAACTAGCCCCTTGCCCAACCCAGTCTCACCTTAGCCCCCTGCCTGACCCCCTACCCGGTTTCACCCCAGACTCGCCCTCCGCCTCCACTGCCACCACCCCAGCCTTGCCGCCGCAATAACCACACCCCAGCCTCGTTGCCGCAATAACCACACCCCAACGTCCACCACCGGCCTACCAGTCAACCACCGGCCAACCCTAGCTAGAAATCCCAGTCATCCAAACCAGATCTGAAATGTGGTCGCCGCAATTAAGCCTAACCTCCCTACATCTGAACAGAAAGAGAAGAGAAAGAAGATCGGCGTGGTGTAGAAAGACGGTGACGGCCGGAAACGACGACGTGAGGAGGAAGAGCTTCGTTCGCGAGACAAAGAGAGAGCAAGGAGCAGGACTGGAACATCGGAGATGGAGGCGCGATGGCGGAGGCGCGATGGCGGAGGCGCGATGGCGGAGGCGCGATGGTGGAGGCTCTCTGCAATGATGGTGAAGGCCCTCTGCAGCGATGGAGGTATGTTGCGGCTAGGGAAGGGGAAGGAGTGCGATGGATAGGTCAGCGGATCACTTTTTTGGAATATTTGAAAAGAGTCATATATTTTGAAATCAAAAGCCCATTAGTAATAACCGGGTCATTTTTTCAAATATTTAATATAATGATTTGTATGTTTTCATCTTTTTAATACGAAGTATATGTATGCGTGAGTAATATTTGTCAATTTATACATGTATGTAATATGATATAATAAAATATTACTCCGTATATAATAAATTATACTCCGTATATTATAATATGAGGAAAGTAAAGAACAGTCCAGAGAAATTTTATTAGGAGCACATCATCTTCTCTACAAATTGGTCGTAGATATTTTCCAAATTGTGATCATCACTTTCTTCAAGCAAAAAAGAATCCGTTTTTTAAAGATGGAATACGAGCAACAAAAGAGTGACGGTAGAGATATTCTTGGATTGCGAAAGTCTGCTATCCATGGGCTGAACGAAACCGCAAATTATATGGTACAGCCGTCTGTACCGTGCGCACGGTACAGCCGGACTTTTAGTTCGCGAATTGCAGGCTTCCATCGCAGACTTCCGTCATCGCAGGGCTTCCATCGCAGACTTCCGTCATCGCAGGGCTTCCATCGCAGGCTTCCGTCATCGCAGGGCTTCCATCGCAGACTTCCATGGCCGATCATCCTTGCTCCGTTGCTCGCCGCCTACTAGCACCTCTCCCTTTTTCGACAACCGCAACCCTTCAGCAGCTCTCCTTCAGCTTCGTCCTTAACTTCGCACGTTCTGTTCCTTTCTTTTCCTTTTTCTCACACTGATTATTTTAGTTTGGTGGATTTTGGGTCAGGGATAACCTAGGTTGTACGTAATTCTAAAGATATGAGCATACGCAAATAAAAGTTTGAGCATGGTGGTGATTTTAAATGAGCCTAAAAGAAATGAGTATAGGCCTAAAAGAAATGAACTCACACAAACTAATATTGAACACATTGAAAATGAGTTTCATGTAAAATTGAAATGAGTATAACACCCAAAATGAATGAGCATACTCAAATGAGTTTTTTGAACGCTCATTTCGTAATTTATGTATACTCATTTGATATTAGTACAATACTCTTTTTAAAATGTCATATTCATGCATATTTCAAAATGAGTTTTAAGTTAAATTCAAATGAGTATTATGCCCAAAATGAATGAACACACAAAAATGAGTTTTTAATGTTTTGATACACATTTTGTAAATTATGTATGCTCATTTGGTATTGTTTTATGCTCATTTTAAAATGATGCACATATCAAATATACGCCCAAAATCAATGAACATACACAAATAAAGTTTTGAATTTTTTTAATACTCATTTTATAAATTATGTATGCTCATTTGGTACTGTTTTATGATCATTTTAAAATGATGCACATATCAAACATATCATACTACATTAGATTCACATATTGAAATTAATTATAAACATAATTTAAGATTTTTAATTTTTATAAATGAAAAAATCATAAAAAGAAACCGAATTAGAAAATATGAAGCAGAGATCACTGGTGCTCATTGTTAGGCTTTTAATACTCAGAAGAACAGGCTCGATGCTCATCAAAATTACATCAATGCTCATGTACGAGAAACCACGAATTTCATGAAAATTACAAAATTGCCACCGGCTGTACAGTGCCAGCCGTACAGCCGGTTGTATGGTATACGCTCCCGAACGAAACGTCACCGATGTTAACGTTTGATTTCAGTTAAATAATTTCGGCTCAAGCTCAAATCAGCCTTTCTCCCAAACAAGTTTAATGATATTACAATTAGCAGATATTGGAAAATTTAAACCGATTATGGGCTGAAATGGTGTGGCAAACATAGCCTAAAATGCTCCAAAGACGTCTCAAATACATTCCAAGTTAATCGGATAAGACTCCTATCTAGATGAAGCACCTGTTTGGGGGCCTGTGTCTCTATAGCAGTAGGGCTCGAGGACTTTCCTAGACTAGGCCCATTCATACGAACAAGCACAACCCACTCACATCGCCACATGAGTGTTTGCTAAAATTTTAAAAAGGTGCTTTTCAGCTTTTTGCTTAAAAAAACTGAAAAAAGTGCTTTCAAATAACAGCTTCTGCTTAATTTACGCACTTAAAAATTAAAAGCTCGAATGAGGTGAATGATGCTTTAAAGTTTAAACTGTTGATGGACAGTCTACCTGGGGGGTATCTTATCCGAGGGGTTATTGCGGAAATAACTAGAGAGAAGTCAGAGTAAATAGGAGGAGAGAGAGTCGATTTTATTAAATGAACTCAGCGTGTGGAGTTGAGATGTAGATGATGATTTACAAGGAGAAATGGGCTGCTATTTATAGCAGCAATAAATGCGATGAGAGGACACGTGTCAGTAATCCAACGGCCGAAGGGTCACATCAACCGGTTGGCACCGGCAGTGGTACGTTTACCGCATTGAATGCGGCTGGCGGATGTGACGTGGCATTAAATGCGGTGGTTGGCTGTCTCCAAAAGGAATCTTCGATGATTGAGCGTGTCTGGCCGAAGGCTCCTGGTGTAGCCGAGGGCTCCATGCGACCAGGACCCCTGTGTAGCCGAAGGCCTCATGTGGCCGAAGGCCTTATGTGACCGAAGGCTATGATGCCGAGGGCTTGACAATGCCGAAGGCTCATGTTTTTTGCCGTTTTCTCCCAGTGGCTTTTTATGCCAGAGAAGGCTGTCCTGTGAGTTTTGTAGCCTTCGGCCAAGGAGGCCGAAGGCACCCCCGCGTGTATTCTGGGCGTCTTTGGGGCTTGGGCCGTCGCATTTGGGCCTGAGTTGTTCTCTGGGCTTAATGGACTTGTGCAGGAGAAGGAGGAGTCTATAGGCCGGGGGTTCCTGGGCCATATACTCCATCAGGAGTCCCTCACTCCTTTTGCCGAAAGGTACTTGAGGGAAAAGGAGTAGTCGTGTTGATTCTTCTGGAGGCTTTATCTTTTGGTTGGGTGCCTTTGCTTGAGAACTTGCCTTCTGTTGATTGCCGAAGGCTTCCCTCAGTCCCTCACATGTCGAGGGTTTTCTGAGGGAAGTATAACACCTGTATAACCGCCGAAGGCTTTCCTCAGTCCCTCACATGTCGAGGGTTTTCTGAGGAAAGCGTGGATGTATTGCCTGCATGTGTTGTGATGAGGGCTGCTTCATTTCCGCAAGTGACTCGGGGAAAAATTTTGATACTCTACCTCTGTCGAAGGGTGTGTTGAAGTATGTACCCGAAAGTTTCTGCTTTGATGTTCACCCGGATGCTACATGCGTCGAGAGCAAGCCTTTGCATGAGGAATTTTTGTCCTGTATGATTCCCGAGGGGTGTATCCCAGTCCCCCACTCCTTTAGGCCGAAGGTAAGTTCGGGATGAAGGAGTTATGATGTGTTGGTGCAAACCCGAGGGGTGACAATATTGACAAGCCGGGGGCTCATGCTGCCGCAGGCTCGAAGGCGTTTGGTGGAATCCGTTGTCTGAGGGCTGCGGAGAGTGATAACCGGAGGCTATCATTCGAGGGCACCCCAGTGTTGCCGAAATATAGCCGTTGGAAGGGGAGTTGACGTGGCGTGTAGTCGTTGGTTGAAGGCGGGCGGTGGCCATCCATTGGCTGAACCGGCGGCCCGTAATGATGGCCTTTTTAAATTGAGGCCCAGATTTTGAGGCTGGGAGCCTATAAATACCCCAAGCCCGAATTGATATCCCTTGTGCGATTTTTGTGATAGCGAAGCTCTGCCCTTTTGTTTTCTAGAGAGAGAAAGCCCTGTTCGATCAAACCCCAAGTTTCGAGGTCAGTTCTTCACCGTTCTTCGATTCTTCTAGCATACTTTTCTCTATTGTTCTTAGATTAAGTGTTAGAGCCTTCCTAGGAAACCCCTAGTATCCCTTTTTCCTTCCATACTTGCGTTCTCTCGATTCCGAAGGATGTCATCAGCAAGCGATTCCCAGAACCATTCGAGGGAGCCCTCGGCTGCAATAGAGAGCTTTTCTGATTCGGAGTCATCGAGCGAGCAGTCCTCGACCAATAATGACCTTGCCGTGGCTGAGGAGGTACAGAGTAACCTTCGGGTTGAGCTGGAGGCTGAAGAATTTGAACAAGTTGCTGCTGATGAAGAAATGGCCCTCGCACTCCAAGTAGCTGAGGAAGAAGAAGAGAGGGAACGACAGGAGGTGACGGTCGCCGTCTTGCCCCTCCGTGGATCCGGGGAGGCGAGTACCTCCCGGCCTCTAGATCCAGAACCCCTCAGCGTTGCCGTGGGAAAGAAAAGGAAGAAGACGAAGGTTCCCAAGAAAGGCAAGCAAACCGTCGTGGATTGCGGGAAACCCGTGGGGATACCCGAGGGCACTCGTGGCTGAATACCGCTGCCCTTGCGCTGAAGTCGAGGGCTGATCGAGCCGAATGCTACGTGACCCAGCTGCATGTGGGGCCTTCGGCTGCCGTGATTGAACCGGGACCCAATGATCTCCTGTTGCAAGCTCCGGAGGGTTGCTTTGCAGTCCATGTCCTATCGGTTGCCATGGGCCTCCGGTTCCCGCTGCATCCTTTTCTCCTCGAATACCTGAGGTACGTGGGTTTAGCCCCCTGCCAGCTAACCCCAAACAGCCATTCCTACATAACTGGCTTCCTGCAGCTGTGTCGATCCCGAGGGGTAACCGCGACCCTCGATCTTTTCTTTCAAAGTTTCAACTTGTGCCGGGGGGGCATACCAATTCTGAGGGGTTCGCAAACCTGCAGCAGCTCGCCCCCTGGAGGCTTTTCGACGATGTGCCCTCGTCTCACAAGGGATGGAAAGACCGATTCTGCTATATCAAGATGGCGGAAAATCCGTTCCCGAGGGAACTGCGCAACCACTTCCGGCGGCACCCGAAGGTGGGAAGCGCCGCGCTTCAGAGGGAGGGGAAGAAGATTGCTGCTTTGCTGCCGGGGGCCACAAAGCATGTGACAGTCAAGGACTCCACTCTCCCGGAAGACTTGCTGGCCCTAGGCTTCCGTCGGTACCGTGTTTTGGGCGAGAAGGATGACCAATACCCAGTCCTCGAGAGAGCCTTCGGTGGCAATGGAGGTAGTTACCGGAGGGTCCGCTTTATTGTACTTAGGATATTTGCATGTTCTTATTTCTCTTCTTTTGTAATTGACCCCTTCGGTTTGACTTCTTTGCAGGTATCAGCATGGATGTCTCCAACTTTGCCGCGTTGAAGAAGAAGCTGGCCAAGGAGCCGAAGAAGAAGAAAGAGGCGGGGGGCCAGAAACCCGTCGATGATTTCTTCCAGAAGGATGGGGCATCTCAGGTCCCGGAGGGGGAGGGACCCTCCAAAGCAGTTGATACCGGTGCTGGTGCCGGGGGCTCCAAGGGGGAGGAGCTTAAGAGAAAGAACTCCGGGAAGGGTATCGCCCCCCGGAGAACAAGAAGCAGAAGAAGGGGGCCTCCGGGAGGAAGGATGCCCCCATTGTGATAGTTGAGGAGCAGCCCTCCTCGAATCCTTCCGCGACCACCCCTCCTCGGTCTCCTCCATCCCCCATAGACGAGGGGGTCCGCCCGGCGGAGATCATCCAGTTCCCCGTCAAGTCGGGGACTTCAGTTATGCACGACACCCTTCACCCCGTCGGCTTCATGAGGGGGGTGATGGCACCGAAGGATAGGTCAGTGCTGGCCCGCCTCGGGGATGACATCCTCGATTATAAAGTCGCCAGCTACAGCACCATGGTGAGCCGCGTTTCCCCTTCTCTTTCCCTCATTTATCCTTTTTGATAATAGCCCCCGATGGCTCGTTTTGATGTTATATTTTTGTCTATGTGCGTTTGCTTGCAGGCTGCCCTGGCTGCTTCCGAGCAGGCCCGAATGGTCGAGCAGCTGAGGATCGCCAAGTGCCAGGCGGACGAGGCTCTGAAGAAAGCCGATGAGGAGAGGGTTTCCCTCCGGCAGAGGATTGCTGATGCGGAGACAGCCCTTCGTCTGGAGAAGGAGGCCATGGAGCAGAGGCTAAAAGATGCCGAGGCTAAAGGGAAAGCTGCTGCTGAAGAAGCCGCCGCTGTTGCTGCCAAGGCTACTGCCGAGGCCGCCGAGATAGAAAAGACCGAGGCGGTAGCCGATGCTGGGAAGAAAGCAATTGAATCTTTCCTCGCCGAGGGCTGGACGGCGGCGGACCACGAGGGGTGGGTGACCTCCGTGGTGGAGCAGAAGGTGGACTCCTGGGTGAGAGGCCCCGGTGCTGAATGGCTTGCCCGGAAGGGTAAGGACTATTATGATGGTGGCGAGTTTTTCACCCAAAACCTCGTCTACCGGAGGTTAGCCAGGCACCTCAAGATAGAGCCGAAGAAATTTGGCCCATCGGCATATGGCCTCCCCCCGCTGCAGCCAGACGTAAGAGTTCCCCTCCCCAAGGGAGAAGAGAGGCCGGACCTAGAGGATTCCGAGCTGATGGGCGAAGGCAGTGGCGAAGAAGTCGAGGATGATGCTGCTTCCAAGCCGAAGGGTGATGCGGGTCAAGAAGCCTGAACTTGAAGTTTTCTACATTCCGATTTTTGTAATAGTCCGTAGGTTCCGGCTTCGGCCATGTACACAGAAACTTGTTTTGTACTTTGATACTTCCTGATGAATGAATGTGATGTGCCTTCGGGCTTCTGTGGTATGTTCCTTTGATTTTAATGAATGTATGCCCTCGTTTCTTTCTGATTGTTTATGAATGCTTTTCTTCACTTGGATGAATGTGTTTTTCCTTCTTTTGTCTGGCTTCCGGCCGCAATTTTGTGGACTTAGAAAATCTTTCTAAGCGTAACTCCTTGCTATCCTCCGGCCATAGTGCAGTATCACCGGGGGGTCGTTGTTGTGGACTTAGAAGGTTTTTCCAAGTAAATCTTGATTAGAACCCTTCTGATGTACTGTAGAATCGCCGGAGGCTCGTGATTGTGGACTTAGAAAAATTTCCTAAGTAAAATTCCATTGCATGTCCTCGGTGATGAACCATTGGAATTGCCCCCGGGTTGTAGCAACAGGACCGAGGGATAAAATGACTTAGGCTTAGCAATTTTATCAGGTGAAATTGCATCTTATGCCCCCGGAAATGCTGAGCCTTCGATTAGTAGTGCACCGCGAGGTCATTGCCAAGTAGTTTAGGGGGCCATCGGCCGTTAGGGCATCCCGGTTTTCTCCTGAAGGGTTCCACAATTGTGGACTTAGCCAAATTTCCACAAAGCTTCAATAGGTGCTGCAGTGAACCTCCGAGCGTGAGGATTGTCTGAGCCCCCGTTGTGTACAGTCTAGCCGAGGGGACCCAAGCTCGTTGGCTTGGTGAAATCCAGAGTGTAAATATTGTGAGCATCCTTCGGCTTGATGAGTGTCCTCCAACGGGTGCTAATATGTAGACTTAGAAATTTTCTCATTGTTAAATGAGTCGGGTGACATTCTGCCTTTGGCATGAAGCCTCTGGTTTGTGTAGATATAGTTTTAGCTTGCCCTAGAACTTTGTGGAGCCTTCGGCATGTCACATAGTTGACTTTGATCCAGCCGAATTTCGGCCTTAGCCGAATTTAGGTGAAGTTTTGCTTAGTGAGCCTTCTTCTTGGGCCTCCGGTGGAACTGTTGTACTCCGAGGCTTCATGTAGTGTAGCCTTCGGCTATATAGCCAGATGACTTGTTGTTGATAGATTTTCTTGCGCCTTTGTAGGAGCTTTCGGGAATATATATCCGAAGTGTTGAGCCTCCGGGGAGAATAGTATCCGGGGAGTTCCTTCCCCCCTACACATCTTTTTTTTTTTTTTTTTTTTGATGATGTAGGAGAGGCATCTAAAAACTTGGTTTCTAGGAAAGGCTTGGCCTATATGGGAGACAACGGAACAAACCGTTGGCTCCCCCTTCGGGAATGACCTTCCGATATCCCGAAGGGTTTGAGGGTCGTTTCCTCGGCCCGAGACATCGTCTGTTGCCTGCTTCCCCTTGGGAGATAGCACGGAAAGCGCCTCGGTTTTGAAAGTCGTCCCCTCAGCCCGAGACATGGTCTGTTGCCTGCTTCCCCTTGGGGGATAGCGCGGGGAGCGTTTCGTTTGTGGAAGTCGAATCCTGGGCCCGGGACATGGTCCGTTGCCTGCCTCCCCTTGGGGGATGGCGCGGAAAGCGTTCCTGGGAAGGGTTTTATTTGTGTGTGGAACACAAATAGCCAGGGGCACTTGGTACCAGCCGGGGACCGAGGGGTTTTACGCCCCTCCCGTTTTTTTTTTTAGGAGAGTATGTAAAAGTGTGCATAATGTATGCATGATTGCGTCCTCGTGGGGTACGGCTTAGTGAGAAAACACATGGTGTTTTCAAAGAGTGATGGGGGTGACCCATATGTTTGGTACTTGGTACCTAAATTGTTGTTCCCCCTCATGAGAGAGAGAGAGGCCTTGGGCCTTTTTGGTGAAGAGATGAGGGCTTGGCCACTCATTTGTAGGAGAGAGGGGGGCCTTGGGCCGTTTGTACAATATGTAGGTGATGAAAGCTTGGCCTTTTGATCATTTTCCCAAACGGATGAGGGTGATATATTACACTTGCTGAGGGTGAGGGCTTGGCCACTCATGTTTTATTGATAGAATTTGACAAGGTGGTGCACATTCCAATGTCTAGGGACTTCCGTCCCATTGGGGCGTTTAAGCTTGTATGTCCCTCGTTTGATGATGGCTGAGATGATGTAGGGGCCTTCAAACTTGGGCGCCATCTTTCCTCCTTCGGTGGGTAGACTGGCCTCCCTTCGTCGGAGGACGTAGTCACCCACCTGAAATCCCCGGGAGCGGACCTTGGCGTCGATGTAGCCTTTGACTTGTCTCCTATAGTTTTCGGCCCTGAGAAAGGCTTGCTCTCGGCGTTCTGAGATGAGATGAAGGTCGAGGGCCATGTTGGCATCGTTGACTTCGGGTTCATATTGTTCAACCCTTCGGGTGGGCAGAGTCACTTCTGTTGGGGCCTTAGCCTCAAAGCCATAGCATAGGGAGAAAGGTGTTTCCCCTGTCGCACGCCGAGGGGTGGTACGGTAGGCCCATAGAATGTTGTGAAGTTCTTCTACCCAGCCTCCCCCTTCGACTTCCAGTTTCTTCTTCAACCCTTCGAGGAGAGTGCGATTGGCATTCTCTACTTGTCCGTTGCCCTGAGGGTAGGCCACAGATGAAAAAGTGTGTTTGATGCCCCATGCCTCCAGGAGGGCACAGAAGGGGGCTGCCTCAAATTGAGTCCCGTTGTCGGAGATGATTTGTTGGGGGACGCCAAATCTTGTCAGAATGTTCTTGAGGACGAAGTGGCGGCACCGGGCCTCAGTAATGCTGGCGAGGGGCTCCGCCTCCACCCATTTGGTGAAGTAGTCAATGGCCACAATGATGTACCTGTTGTTGGAGGTACCCCTCGGTAGAGGACCTACTAAGTCAATACCCCACCTGGAGAAAGGTATAGCGGTGCTGATGGGGGCATAGTTGACCGCTGGTCTGCCGGGGGCCTTCTGAAAGTGTTGGCAAGCGGTGCACCTTCGGGCTAGATCAACACAATCCCTAGCCATCGTGGGCCAGAAGTAGCCTTGAACTATGAGCCTTCGGGACATGGAGAAGGGTCCCTGGTGAGCTGAGCAAGTGCCACTGTGCACTTCCTCCATGGCGACTTCGGCCTCATCTTGATGAAGGCACCGAAGGAGGGTGCCGTTGTAAGATCTCTTGTAAAGCCTCCCGTTTTCGAGGGTGTAGCTGGGAGCCCTCAGTTTTGCCAACTTGGCGCGGGCTTCGTCTTGGGGCAGTTGCCCTGTGGTGATGAAGGTGATGATGTCGGAGATCCAATCCTCCGGCCTTAAGTGAATGTTCATGACGGGGCTCGCGTGAATGCTTGAGAGGCTGAGTTCCTCAATCCTTGCAATTTTGGAGAGGTGCTCGGGGGATTCATCCGAAAGCTTGGATAGAATGTCGGCCTCAGAGTTTTGAGCCCTCGGTATTTGGGTGAGAGAATGTGCCTCAAACACCTTGAGCAATTCCTTAGCCGCTTCTTTGTATTGTTTCATCCTTCCTTCCTTGGCTTCGTACTCCCCGGAAATTTGACCCACAACAAGTTTGGAGTCACACTTGACGTGGATCATCTTAGCCTTCAGATTCGCTGCCAGCCGAAGGCCGCAGAGGAGGGCCTCGTATTCGGCCTCGTTGTTGGAGACTTTGAAGGAGAAGCGGATGGCATAATAGGCGCGGAAGCCCTCGGGTGTAATGAGGACTACTCCCCCCCGCATGCTTTGGTGGCCGAGGAGCCATCGGTATAGAGGGTCCACCACTCATCAAGGGGTGCCGAAGGCTCTTCATCCACCGCTGATCTCGCGGTGCATTCCGTTACGAAGTCTGCCAGGGCTTGGCCCTTGATGGCAGGCCTCGGACGGATGTCTATGTTGTATTGGCTGAGGAAGATGGCCCATTTTACCATCCGGGAGGAGCTAGTGGGACTCCTCATGAGGGCGCCGAGGGGTTGATGAGTGAGCACTTGGACCGGATGAGCTTGAAAGTAGTGGCCAAGCTTCTTGACGGTCCAAACGATGGCTAGCACCGTTTTCTCGACGGGAGAATACCTGAGTTCGGCCTCCTGGAGGGTTTTACTGACGTAGAAGATGGCATGTTGGACGCCGTCTTCTTCTCGGATTAGCACTGAACTGATGGCCGCAGGGCTAACGCCGAGATACAAGTATAAAGTCTCCCCTACCTTCGGTTTGGAGAGCACTGGGGGAGAGGAGAGGTACTTCTTGAGTTCGTCGAAGGCCTCTTGACATTCAGATGTCCATTGAAAACCCGCCGTCTTCCTCATGATTTGGAAGAAGGGGAGGGCCCTCTCGGCTGACTTGGACAGGAAACGGTTGAGGGCTGCCAGGCGACCCGTCAACCGTTGAACTTCTCTGACGCTGCGTGGAGGCTCCATGTTGATGATGGCCTGAATCTTCTCGGGGTTGGCCTCAATACCCCTTCGGCTGACCATGTAGCCCAAGAACTTTCCTCCTTGTACGCCGAAGGTGCACTTCTTCGGATTCAGCCGGAGATTGAATTTCTGCATGATGGCAAAGATTTCCCGGAGGTCGTCGGCGTGAGTGCTTGCCTTCTTGCTTTTGACGATCATGTCGTCAACGTAAGCCTCCATGGTGCGTCCTAGGACAGCTTGAAAGACCCTGGCCACCATTCGGGTGTAGGTTGCGCCTGAGTTTTTGAGGCCGAAGGCCATCACAAGGTAGCAGAAGATGCCTTCGGGTGTCATGAAGGCAGTTTTTTCAGCGCCTTCCTCATGCATGTAGATTTGATGATATCCGCAGAACGCGTCGAGGAATGACATGATCTCGCATCCTGCGGTCTCATCTACTAGTTGATCAATGTTTGGCAGTGGGAAGGGGTCCATAGGGCACGCCTTATTCAGGTCTGTATAGTCCACGCACATGCGAAAGGTAGGAGGCTTCTGTGCGAGGACTACGTTCGCTAACCAAGAGGGGTATTTCACCTCCTTTATGTGTTTGATGGAGAGGAGCATAGATACCTCCTTCTTCACGAACTCCCTCCTCTCGGCCGAGAGGGGTCTTCTTCGTTGTTGCACCGGTTTGGCCGAAGGGTCCACCGCTAGGCGGTGGGTGATAACCCTTCGGTCAATTCCTGGCATATCCTCCGGCCCCCATGCAAAAACAATGGAGTAGGCGCGGAGGGCTCCGGTGATGCCAGCCTTCAAGTCTTCGGGGAGCTTGGCTCCAATCTTCAGGACTCTCTCCGGCTTGGCCGGATCGAGTATCAAGTCTTCGGTTTCCTCGGCAGGCTCAGCCCTCGGCCTGCCTTCTTCTTCCTCCAAGGCTTTGGTGGTGATGGTGTCAACACGAAACTCAGTTTTACTAACCTTTTTGGTGAGTTGAAGGTAGCAGGCCCTGGAGAGCTTCTGATTCCCCCTCGAGTAACCGATGCCGGTAGGCGTGGGGAACTTGAGGCAGAGGTGCCTCATGGAGATGACAACCTCCAAATCTTCGAGGGTAGGCCGGCCGAGGATGATGTTATGTGCGCAGTCGAGGTTGACGACGACGAACTCCACTTCGAGCTTGGCTCTATGGGATCTGTCGCCGAATTCGACCATGAGTGTGATGACGCCCTCGGCGTCGATGCTGTCCCCCGTGAATCCGGAGAGGGGGGTGTTGATGTGCCGAAGGGACCCCCTGTCGAGTCCCAATTCTTGGAAAGTGCTGAGATACATGACGTTGACAGAACTCCCCGTGTCGACGTAAGTCCGGTGGATGATGGCGTCACTGATCTCAGTGCGGATGACGAGGGCATCCCTATGCGGCAGAGAACCCGAGGGGAGGTCCGCATCTGTGAAGAAGATGGGTTCCCCCCTCGGTCTCTTAGTTGGGGGCATGTGATTGACTTCCCCAACGTAAAGGGACTGTGCCCACTTCTTCCTTTGGCTTGTTGAATCGCCTCCGGTGTTGCCGCCGTTGATCATATGAATATGGCGCTTGTATTGTTGATGGGAGCCCTCTCCCTCATCATCGAGGCCCCCAATTTCCCGCTTCTTCCCCTGTTGGTTTCCCAAGGGGATGGTGTTGGGGTTCACCCACTTGTTGGCCTTCGGCGGAGGCCCTTGATGGTGAAGGGGGCCCTGGGGAGGAGGGCCCCTGATAAATTGAGACAAGTGGCCCGCCTGTATCAGCATCTCAATGGCGTTTTTCAGCTGATGGCAATCGTCGGTTTTGTGTCCATGGTGGCGGTGGAAGCGGCAGTAGGGCTCATCAGGACCGATGGCATAAATCTCGAGGGGTGTACGGGAGTCTCGTTCAACGAGCCCCCGCTCTTCTGCATGATCAAGAATGACGCTGACGGGATGCGTCAAGGGAGTGCGTGGGTGCTCAAGGAGGACGGGTTGCGCCCATGCCTTCGGGTTGTTTTTGTAACCGCCCCCGGTTCTGGCTTGGCCACCTCGGGGGCGATCATTATATTGAGCCTCGCGGTTGGCCGGAGGAGGAGGTCCTCCGGGCCGATTCCTGCCTTCATTCTTCTGAGAAGGATCCGTGTTGCGGCGGTCCTTCTCGATTTCCCCCGCTTCGGCGTACCGGTCCCCCCGCTGAAGGGCTTTCGTATAATCGCGGGGGGGATCAGTGATGAGACTCCGAGAGAAGTTACCGTTGCGGAGGACAGTGTGGAAGAGGGCCATCAGGGTTCTGTCATCGGCGCCTTCGACCTCGAGGGAGGCCTGCCTCCAGCGTTCTAGGAAACTCCGAAGGGTTTCCTCCTTCTGTTGTCTCACGTTCAGGAGGTGGGAGAAGTGTTTCTTTGAGCGGTGCCTCCCGGCAAACTGTGTAAGGAAGCGGTGGGCAAGTTCTTGCCAAGAGTCAATGCTGCCTTCGGGCAATCGGTTGAACCACTCATACGCGGGCCCCTCCAAGGTGGAAAGGAACCAACGGCATAAGTATTCATCCGAGGCCCCCATCATCATCATGCTATTTTGATAGCGGCTATAGTGTTCTTGGGGATCCGTCTTCCCCTCATACGGTTTGATAGGTTGCCCCCGATATTTGTGGGGGATTTTGGCCGCCAACACCCTTGGGGTGAAAGGCGTCCTAGTGCGGAGCTGAATGAGGGGCTCGCCTGAGCCTTCGGCAAGCTTACGCTTCATTTCCTCCACTTGCGTCCGGAGGTCAGCGTACTCTGGATCTGGCCTCGCTGTGGAAGCCGTCGGGGGCGCCTGACGGTTCTCCTCGAGTTGGCGGAGGAGGGCTTCAATGATCTCGTCCTTGGGATCCTTCGGGGCAACCCCTTGGGAGTTGGCCCGGAAGGATTGCGCCTGTGTGATTTGGTGCCTGGCGTCATCGGCGTGGAGGAGAGCTTTGCCTCTGCTTCGGGGGGGGGGGGGGGGGGGGGGGGGAGGCACGCCTTCGGCACCCAAAGCGGAGGCTCCACTTTCCTGTGGTCTGCTGAGCGCTTGTTTCCCGAGGCGGTCTTGGATCCCTCGGCGTCCGGCAGCTCCCCCAAGCCTCTCAAGTGCAGAGGTCCGGGGTTTCTCCTTCATCATGGGGCGCTTATCCCTGGATTGAGCCTCCTGGGAGGCGGTATCCTGTGCTATGACCCCCTCGGCATTGCCAACCCCCGGGGGAGGGTTGTTGAACAAGGGAGGGAGTGGTGGTAGGTTGATAACATTCCCTCCAGCATAGGGCTGAAGGGGTGCTTGAGAGGCGAGGGCTCCGGAATTGAGAGCCATGTTTTGAACAAAGGCCGCAAAGGCAGCCTGAAGATCGATGGCCGGGGCCGGAGGGGGAACTTGGTTCTCACTCCGATCCCTCCTTCGATTATCAAGGCCAATGCGAGCATCAGGGGTGTTCTTCTGCAGCTGCTGACGTAGGTCAGCGGTGGCTTGCTCTAATTCGAGGATGATACCACCCTCGGGTACTAAGAGCCTGTTGGAGGCCTCAGCCCCGTTAGTTTCGCCGGGGGCTACGTGGTTCTCCTCAAGGGTTTTGGATTGGGCACGGGTGGTTCTTCCCATTTTTGGTGAGTGTTTTGTGTTTGGTAGGGGGGAGGGTTTCTTACTTGATTGTTCAGACCTCTCAACGAGAGCACCAAATGATGGACAGTCTACCTGGGGGGTATCTTATCCGAGGGGTTATTGCGGAAATAACTAGAGAGAAGTCAGAGTAAATAGGAGGAGAGAGAGTCGATTTTATTAAATGAACTCAGCGTGTGGAGTTGAGATGTAGATGATGATTTACAAGGAGAAATGGGCTGCTATTTATAGCAGCAATAAATGCGATGAGAGGACACGTGTCAGTAATCCAACGGCCGAAGGGTCACATCAACCGGTTGGCACCGACAGTGGTACGTTTACCGCATTGAATGCGGCTGGCGGATGTGACGTGGCATTAAATGCGGTGGTTGGCTGTCTCCAAAAGGAATCTTCGATGATTGAGCGTGTCTGGCCGAAGGCTCCTGGTGTAGCCGAGGGCTCCATGCGACCAGGACCCCTGTGTAGCTGAAGGCCTCATGTGGCCGAAGGCCTTATGTGACCGAAGGCTATGATGCCGAGGGCTTGACAATGCCGAAGGCTCATGTTTTTTGCCGTTTTCTCCCAGTAGCTTTTTATGCCAGAGAAGGCTGTCCTGTGAGTTTTGTAGCCTTCGGCCAAGGAGGCCGAAGGCACCCCCGCGTGTATTCTGGGCGTCTTTGGGGCTTGGGCCGTCGCATTTGGACCTGAGTTGTTCTCTGGGCTTAATGGACTTGTGCAGGAGAAGGAGGAGTCTATAGGCCGGGGGTTCCTGGGCCATATACTCCATCAACTGTTTTTCAAAGTTTTCTATTACATAAAAAACACTTATTTTACCAAACACTACAGCTTCTACTTTTCCATAATCACTTTTTTCTCAAACACTACCAATTTTTACTATTAAGCATTTTCTCCAAAATCACTTTAAAAAATCAATTTTTTGAAGTAGGAGCAATTGCAAAAACTCCCTAATATTGATTACATGAGGCCGCGTGACAAAAGTGATGGCTGGAATTAATTTGGCAAATTAATTTGCCAAAGCAGTGGAGATGCTTTAGCTTAAGAGGAGGATTTACATTGAAACAGACAAAAACATGACTCAAGCTTTTAATTCGTCGACAAGAATAAGGCTGAAACCCTAACTCAATTCTCCAGAGATTCTTATTAGAATTAATTCGTATGAGCTTTATGTCAAGTCCACATTTTATTCACGTCTTTCACTTTGTTCATTTTCATATTTGACTAATGTTTTTTGACCATTTGTAATCTTTTTTCAATGATGTTTCGAAACTCTAAACCCTAAATCTTAAACTCCAAACCCTAAACCCCAAATCCAAATTCAAATCCAAACCCCAAACCCCACACCCTACACCCCACACCATACACCCTAAACCCTAAATCCGAAAGCCGGAACCCCGAAACCCTAAATAGAACGAATTAGGTAATTTAGTATTAGGCTAAAGGGTCAAATAGGTACATGAACTAACTTAAAGTAGTCAATTAGCCCCTTATATAGGAGGTTCTGCCCGGCCGTCGCCAATTGGGGCGGTTCCCGGTTGAATTTTTTGATAAAATATTTTGAGCATCCTTTTCATTAAGTGTAGTTTACCCATATCAAATTTCAGCTAAAAATAAAATCGGGAAGGAAGTCAAATGATTTTCCGAAATGTACTGCGCTGTTTAACTGCGCAGTTATATTCAAAAACTCATTTGAATGCCTTCCCGGTTGAATTTGTAGCTGAAATTTGATATGGGTAAACTAGACTTAATGAAGAAGATGTTCAAAAAATTTTATCAAACAATTCCACTGGGAACCGTCCCAATTGGCGACGGCCATGTAGAACCTCCTATATAAGGGGCTAATTGACTACTTTAAGTTAGTTCATGTACCTATTTCACCCTTTAGTCTAATACTAAATTACCTAATTCGTTGATGCTTTTCAAAGATACTCTGATGCAATTGGGGCTTTTTCTTTTGGAAGCAATTACCAACTCATGAGCTAGCATATACTTGTACAAATGAGAACTTCACTATATTTCATATTCCAACCTGAATAGCGAGTACAATGGCTCATTGTTGATGTAAAGATGACTCAATCATTAGCTTTCCAATAAACTTCCAAACACATGAACGAAACCTTTTAACTTCCAATCCTTTCGATAATAAAGTAAAACTGTACCTTTAAACAATATTGCCAAGTTATATTGCCAAGTATATATACTCCTTTTAAAATGTTAGCATCTTAAATTGACTAGAATATAAGTATATAAATATATAAATTGTCAAAGTATATAAGTTTCACTAGTGGAAAAACACCATTTTGCGGCGCAGCATATGCGGCGGTTTTGAAGAAAGCGCCACAATTTTCGGGAAAAAAAAAAAAATCAATACATACGCTGCAGTTGTTAACAAAAAAACGCCGCTATTATTTTAATTTAATTTTATTTTTTATAAAATATGCGGCAATTCTATCTAATAACCGACGCAAATAAATACGTAAATAAAAAAGTCCGGAAAAATTTAACATGCGCGGCGGTTTTATCTTACAACCGCCGCAAATATTTAAAAAAAATTAGCTCACGCGCGTCGGTTATAACTTAGAACCGCCGCATATCCATTTATTTTGTAAAATAGAAATGATAAGCGAAGAACGAACGGGTGCCAGGCCAAAATTAAACCCTAAGCGATACCCATCCAACGACGGCGGACTGCTACAGAGAGCTACAGTCTACCGGCGAAATCAAACGTCAGTTGGCTTGAGCGAGGTGGAAGGAGACTTGTGGAGTTGCGGCGGAAGCCTGGCGAGCGGATTCAGCGCGGCGATTTGCGGACGGCTGCTGGCGGACGGCTTCTGACGGGCGCCTGGTTTGAATGTTACACTTAATCCCTTCTCTCTGTAAATCAATATTTGGATGATTTTTTTTTTATCTTTGTAAATCAATATCTCTTAGATTTCAGAAGGAGGATTCAGTGAGTCAGACTTTCTTCTTTAAGTGGTGTTACGGTTATGCTATTGGAAGAATTTTTATGCTGATAAAGTAGTTTTTACCTTCATCATTCATGTTGCCAATATTTGAAACATTTCCAAATGTCTACCATTCAACAACATCTGTGAAGTTGTGTGACTTTGTCCAAAGCCCTATGTTTGGGTACATTATAGTGTTCATTCTCATCATCAATCTTGTGGCTGTGGTAATACTATGATATGTGTAACCTGCATATTTACTACTAAATCAGAGCATTTGACACACAAAGTGTGTTTTGTAAAATTTCATAATTTGCCCTAAACATTTCAGCTTGATATAGAAGGCATTTCTTCTCAAACCTTTTGGCAGAAGGTAGAAATCGTCTTTGGTAAGTTTTTGTTACTCATGACTTAGCACTTTAGAGCAAAGTATATTGGTTACTGTTAAATCCTCTTGCTATTAATACCTTGCTATCTATTTAGTGTTAATTCTTGTGCTCTGTGCTTTTCCAATTATACATGCTTTTCCAATTATGGGTTACTGGTACCATAATTTGGATGATAGTTGCTTTTATAGTCATAGATTAAAACTTATGTGGCTGTGCATAAGGTGAAGGGCATGCTGTTACCCCACTGATTTTGCATAAGGTATATGGAATTATGATTTATATACATATATGGAATTATGATTTATGTACATATATGTCATGATAAGGTGAAGGGCATGCTGTTACCCCACTGATTTTGTATTTCTTCCATGGAACATTTCGTAATTATGACTTTGTTGTACTGATTTGATTTTGTAGTTGAATCGTTGTGGAATTTGAAAGGAGTATGTTACGTTTTAAAGAAGTTTGTATTGATGTATGATTTTAAAGAGGTGATGTGTTATTGATCTTTTAGTTGTGGTATTGTTTAAAATAAATTCAATTTTTAACATATTTAAGAATTTTTTAAAAAAATGGAAAAATGTTGCGGTTATTACACTAGAACCGCCGCAAAACAATTAATTTTTAAAATAAAAACAATACATATGCGGCGGTTATTAACTCAGAACCGCCACGCATTTTTTGACAGAAAATACAGGTCGGAGAGTTTATATGCGGCGGTTCTTAGTTAATAACCGCCGCAAATTAATTTTTTTATTTTTTTTTAATTTTTTTATTTGCGGCGGTTTTTTAATGTAAAAACCGCCGCGCGTTCAAAATTTGCGTCAGGTTCAACTGTGGCGGTCAAAACCGCCGCGCATGAAGCTTAAAAACCGCCGTGAATCAGGGTTTTTCCACTAGTGTTTCCCCAAAAAAAATATACTAAAATAAAACTTATTTACACAAAGATGATTAATAGTTACTACAAAATAGTGTTTTGATCACTTAAGTTTAAAAATTGAACACAAGTTTCAAAAAATTGGACCGCAGGATCGTAAGCCCCGTTCTGTTAATTAGCCAACACAACACGAGATCATAGTATAAAATGCTACATCCCAAGTTAATGGAATAAGACTCCTATCTAGATGAAGCACCCGTTTCAGGGCCTGTGTCTCTTCAGCTGTTGGGCCCGAGAACTTTCCTAGACTAGGCCCATTCATACAAACAAGCACGACCCACTCACATCGCCCCATGGTCAGGTTGCACATTATTTATAACCCGTCAACTATTAATGGTTTTGTTCTCCTCTAGATAAACAATGTGGGAATATAATACAATGCACCGCCACCTCCCTAACAACCAAGATAAGGGAATGTTTGCTGAACCTTAAAAAAAGAGTTTTTTTTCTTCAAGTTTTGACTTAAAAAGTGTTTTCAAATGATAACAAATAAGAGATTAGAAGTGTAAGACTTGTATTGGGACATTGAGCCAACAAACACTAGACCGACCCAACACCATTAAGACCATTCTTTGCCTTACCTCCCAACACATAAGAATGAAGACCGGGTGCCCTTCTAAGACCAGGCAAGGCCAAGAAAGAGGCCGAACATTAGGGGGCACACATAGGGGATCAAGAGAGAGGGGGAGCGCCCCAACCTGGTCGAGCGAATTTCAAACACGAGATTTGGAGAAAAATTTGTGGATATCACACTACAATTTGGACATCACCTTGTTTGGTAAGGGTATCGATGGACTTATTGGTTATGTTCAAGTGAATCCAACTCTATCAAACTAAAATAAATTGAACTGAAATCGAACCATATGCAATTTGATTTGAGTTTGGTTATTTTTCTTTCTGAACTGAACAAAAATCAAACCAAACCGGAAAATTCAATAAAATATTATTATATAATTAAAAATAACAAATTGACATTGAACTGATTCAAATTGACCAATTCGAATTTTTTGTTTGATACTTATTCTTCCCATCCATTTCAAATTGAAATGAACTGAAAATCCATAAAAATGGAATTGAAAGAGACCTGTTTACCGCAGGTAAAGGGAATGCTGCAAATAATCAAATGCTGCGAATGAGCAAAAAAAAGTTCTAAATTGAGAGGGAGAAGCAGGCGAGCAAGTTAGCGTTATGTGAAGTTTTGGACACATGCCACCAACACGGATGCTCGCGCTACGACTGCCAACCATGGCCGCCGCCGGTTTGGCTGCACAATCATTCCTACGGAGAGGCATGACGTCCTTAATACTTCCCCACTCTATTGACCCAATGACGGGCCTCTACACCACTGGGCCTTTTCTCAGCAGAACACCTCTTAGATCTCCAGGTTCATCCTATGCTATTTCTCTTCAACGGGGCTGTGTTGTTGAGCTTAGTAAATGTACTGCTTTACATTTTAATGTTACCCGACGATAGTGTGCGTATCTTGTTATCATGTAACAAAGTTGAATGCTTGAAGCGGTATTTAGACATAGGGTGTGTTTCTTTAGGAAAGTCCCTCCCTTTTTTGTTTCCCCCTAAAGATTTGTATTTGCTTTAGTTTCAGAGGCTTTCTGTGCCTCAGTTTCTCAGGAGTGATATCAGGAAACTCATATCACAGGACAAGTGGGAGTCGTACAAGTTGACCACTTCTTACACGTAAATCATCACCGGATAGGTCATGAGTTCAAATCAACAAGGAGTTGAATTTGGGACGCTTTTCTCAACAAGATCCTGTTGTAATATCTTTGAAAGTAATTACTTTGTATGTAAATGATTAATAAAAGCATATCTGCTAGTACTAAGCACTTAATGAAATTAGTCTAGGAATGAATTTTGTAAAAGGGTGTACTTTTGACAGTAGGTTTGGCTTGCTTACTTCTTGGGAAATGCGATGAGTAAATTTGACCTTCAATATGACAACCCGTCGTGCACATAGTTAGACGTTATGACTTGACTTGCTCCTTTCATTGCATCTCCAGTTTACCACTCACAAGGCTTATGTAAAGCCTTCTCAATAAATTTTACTGTAGAACTGTCTATTCATTTCACCTTTGCTCTCTTTTCCAAAGTGTACTTCTTCTATTGCACTGTTTATAATCCCATTCTTGGCTAGGGGCACCATTGCACTACAAAATGGTCATGTGAGTGTCTTCTCGCCAGCCTCAAGAGTCCCCTGACTGAAAGGCTTCCAATAAACAAAGCTGCTCAATGAAAGTTTCAAAAGAATATTTGTGCATAATAATATGTGAGCCTAGTTCCTATTAAAACCCGTAAGCACAATGAAAAAAGGGAATAACTGGGTACATAAATTAAAAATGTGCACTTTCATATATGTGGCTCCACAAAGTGTGTGTGGGATGTGTGTTTGCTGTCAAAGAATTAATATTGCATTTTCTTTTGTTTTATTATGGTTTGAATGATGCAAGTCATTAACGCTTGCATAACTCCTATAAAATCAGCACACAATACTCCAAACTGTGGATGTGGCAGCATCTATAGGGTCTATGAAATGAACGTTTTTTACTCCCACTTTATGATTTGCCTGACCCTATTATGATTTATGTATTGGCACCTCATGTAGTAACTACTATTAGTTGGTTGATTTCTATGGGAACTCTAGCATTATCATTATATGTATACTCCCAACAAGCCATTAGATTTATATCTATTGTGAAAAAGGTAATTCCTGGATAGCTGATTAGCTGCATGGTTGTTTAAGCAGCATTTGGAATATGCAGTGCAACACATGCTATAAAGGGTGATGTGGAAGGTCTTACAAAAGGAGGAGACAAGGATACAATTGAGAATGTTAAACACATTATTGAAATGGTATATTTTTACTTTGCAGGTTTCACACACATTTATTATCCTTTATTTGTAGAATTTTTTTATTTAACATTTTCTACTTCTTTCCTTCTGAAAAATAAAACATCACAGTTTTCCGAAATCATTAAGAAATAGTGTTGTTGAAGGGTCTTCTAGTTCCTATTCTGTAGACATTCTTAATGTTCTATTTTGTGTTTGAAACAGGCAGAGCGAGCATCTTTAAGGAGAGAAGTTCTACATACAGATTTTCTCACACCACTTGTACTAAAAGAATCAATGCTAGTGGTAGGAAGGTTGATAAATGTCAAAGCTATTGCTCAGGGAGGGTACCCAGAGGTTAGATTACTATTATATCTTGCCTGCAAAAAAGAATGATTTTGGAACAGAACTATTAGTAACCTTAACTATCCTAGGCTGAACGTTGCAGACTCTCAGTTGGACATCCCGAGGTCTTGGCAACTGATCCAGATATTGTTTCAGCCATAAGGTAGATTAGACCCAACCTACTCACCCATCTATCATTTAGTTGCATAGTTGTATCTCAATTCTCAAGTTGAATTCATTGGTGCTTTTGATGTTATTGAGAAATGGTCTCACTTCCTAGTATTTCAGGGAACTTCTCCTTTGAGCCTTGTTCTCATGGTGATTTCCTTGGAGCAATCCTTGGCACAGGAATTTCCAGAAATAAGTTGGGAGATATTGTCTTGCAGGTACTCTCAATCCATGTGCTTTGGGAGTCGTGAAAAAATAATTCACCTTGACAAACTCTGATTCTCCAGTAATGACACTTTTTTTAAATTACTGAAGTGCAAGGCTACGTTTACAACTCGGAAAATGGTAGGGAAAGAGAAAACATAAATTCTAAGGAAATTGATTTTCCTAAGTTTGACTTTTTACCTTGGAAAATAAAAGGGAAAACCAAACTTGATTAGAAATTTTTAAAATTTTACATATTTGTATATTTCACTTACCTGCATATCTAAAATTAATTAATTGAGTTTGGACAAGTACTTTTCAATTCCCCCACATTTTTCCCATCAACTTCACTAGCAATTTTAGAGTTCCAACCAGACCCTAAGGGTTATAGAAAAAACTTCCCAGATAGGGTTTGGTCACGTAAAGCCCTTGCCTGATAAGTTAAGTGACTGCTCCAGTTTGATAGGAAACTGTCCAGGTAAACAGTAAAATCACAGAATCTATCAAGAACAACTAAGAGTTTTTATTGATGAGGAAGAATCGATTACAGAAAGAGAGTAAGAAATCAATGGCCGAAGCCCCCAATATGAGCCGAAGCCCCCAAGAAAGAGAGTAACTCTCGATCTCCCAAGTCCCAGTCTGAAAAATGTCTAAACAGCCTACCTAACCCTTCCCTGCCTTCTGCTATTTATACTAAACTAATACAATTTTATTCTTATTAATATGCTAATAGGCCCAGTCCATTATTCTTATTATATATTAGGCCCGGACCCTAACAATACTCCGCCCCTTAAACATCCACCTTGCCCTCAAGGTGGATGATATGACACAGCCACTAACTTATTCTCTTCTTTCATCCTAGCACCCCTTCCTCTCCAGTACTGATTGGTCTGCTGGGCCTTTAGCTTTACTATTTCCATCTTTCCCTCTAAGTATTTCACAGCATAGTTCCACATAGGCCAGACAATTTGATCCAGAACTGTGATTTCTGCAGGTTTTTGGAAGATCCAATTGCAGCTTGCTGTAACATTGGGGACAGCTACTTCGTGCCTTTGAACACTTCTTCCTTCAACGTCCTGCTCTCTTGATGAGTCATCTCTTTGTAGAATCACCTCCTGCCCTTGTACTTTCCATTTGAAGGTCTGACTTTGGAAGTTAATCTCCATGTCTCCCAAACTTGTTAACCAGTCCATTCCCAAGACTAAATCCATGCTCCCCAGCTCCAATAAGTAATAAGTTTGGTGAATACCAATTCCTTGCACATTCAGATCCACACCTGCACACCTGCCACAGATTGGAATACATTCGCCATTCCCTAACTGCACCCTATTCCCTGTGAAATGAGTATAAGGAATCCTCCACTTTTCCGCCAAGTTTAGTGACAGAAAATTGTGTGTAGCACCTCCATCAATGAGTACATTTACTGTGCTTTCACCTTCATGCCATTTCAGTTTACCTCTCACCTTAAATGTTTTCACAGGGGTTATTTCTTTCTCATCACTTACAGAGAATTGCATGGTCTTCAATTCTAGAGGTGTGATCTTATCCCTGCCTGATTCCAGTGCTTCAAATTCAGACTCAGCTTCACCCTCCGATCGTTCCACTAAAGTTATTGTACAATTCTTCATCTTGCACACATGTCCCCTTCCCCAATTCTCTCCGCATTTGAAACATAGCCCCTTTTTACTTCTTTCAAGCAATTCTTCTTGTGATAATTGGGGTTTTGTATTCCGCTGAACAGAATTTGAAGATTCCTGCTTCTTCATGTTATCAACTAAATAGTTGCCAGATGGATTCTTGGTTGTGTAGCTAGAACTCCCTCTACAACCATCTTCCCATTTCTGATTTGCAGTCTGCACCTTCTTTCTTTCCTCCTCTTTATCTTTTACAAACAAAGTTTCCAAAATTTTGTTCTCAATCGCGGAGGCAGTATCCATAACTTCTGCCAATGTTCTAGTATGATGTAACTTCAATTCTGCTTTTATATCTCTTCTCAATCCCTTAAGAAAGGCTGCTTTTAAGACTTCTTCTGTTAAATGGCCTTGTGAAGCGATAGCCTTTTCGAATCGATCTCGGTACTCTTGAATTGTAGCTTTCTGTTTCAGACTGAAAAGAGGCCCAAGAGGATCGTTTACCATATCAGGCTGAAATCTTCTAGTCAACGCCCTAGTGAAAGACTCCCAGTTCTGATGTGCAGCTTGTCTCTCCCACCATTGAAACCAACTGAGAGCTTGATCCTCCATAGCTAGAACTGCCACATCAATTTTCTCCTCCTCCTCAGTTCTATTTAACCTGAAATAGCGGTTCATTCTCATCAACCAACCACCAGCGTCAGCTCCATTGAAAAGTGGTAATTCAATTTTCCTTTCAGTCCGGCGGTGGTGATCGTGTCTCCTGTGTCGATGATGGTGGTTTCACGGTGGTGAATAGTCCGAACTGTTTTCCGATCCTTCTGAACTGGTTGCCCGTCGCGATTGGTGATGGTGATGCGACGATTGATGGTGAAACGGTTGATGATGATGCGACGTGCGATGCGAGGCAGATGATCGATGCGATGCAGATGATCGGTGAGAGAGGCTTCGCGATCGACTGGCGAGGTTCTTCTGAAATTCCGCCAAGTTCGCTTGCATCGTAGCTTGCATCGATGTCTGAATCGAAGCTAATTTCTCCGCCAATTGGTCCGCCATATTACTCTGCAATTCACGCATCCTCCGATCCAATTGATCGTGTAATTCTCTTTGATTTCTCCCAATATCCACCATGCTTCGTTCCACCTCGTTCATTCTGGCTTCCATTTTGGAACGCGTATATCTCATTCAGCGATCGAACACTGCTCTGATACCAATTGATAGGAAACTGTCCAGGTAAACAGTAAAATCACAGAATCTATCAAGAACAACTAAGAGTTTTTATTGATGAGGAAGAATCGATTACAGAAAGAGAGTAAGAAATCAATGGCCGAAGCCCCCAATATGAGCCGAAGCCCCCAAGAAAGAGAGTAACTCTCGATCTCCCAAGTCCCAGTCTGAAAAATGTCTTAACAGCCTACCTAACCCTTCCCTGCCTTCTGCTATTTATACTAAACTAATACACTTTTATTCTTATTAATATGCTAATAGGCCCAGTCCATTATTCTTATTATATATTAGGCCCGGACCCTAACACAGTTTCACAGAAAAAGACCTGTGTGCCTCGACTTGCAATACAATGTATAGTTGTGCTTTGGAGATCCACCCTTCACATAATAACTGTCAATCGAAACAAGTAATTTCAAATCAAACTCAAATACCTGATATACACTACATTGCCATCTTAATGAAACGAAAATGATTATGACTCATAATAAAAGTCCAATTTATATTTATATTGCAAATAGTCATGAAAACATCAAATAAAAGGAAAGCAGGTGACAATCTGCGCCACCAAGCGTCTCTGGTCAGCGAAATCAACTCTCCTAAACTTATTACATATCCCCTAGAGTACTCGAGTCATGGCATTGCTATTCATGACTTTCTGGACCATCTTAAGGAGCTCCACCATATGTGGTTCCAAAATGGCAAAAGTGTGAACTGTGAAGTCGAAACGAATAAAGGTGTATTGATTATTGACGCAGGCCAGCTCATGCTTCTGAACCTTTGCTGACTTGCAGCCTGTCCCACAGTGAACTAGTCTCCCATTGCATCATACTGTTATTATTTATGTTTGCAAGTTTAAGCATTTGTGTTATTTGACACTTTCCTCATGAGTTTAATCCATATTAGGTCAAGTTATCTTTGTACAAATCTGGTCTATAATGACTTCGAGACCTTTATATGCAATTTTAGGGAGAAAAAGGAGGCCAGGTCCTTATTGTTCCAGAACTAGCTGACTTCCTCATATCGACGTTGAACAAGGTAGTACTCCTAGGGCAATCATCTGCACCATCTTAGGTAGTATTTCTGAAATTCTGAAATGATAATCCATACTATCTCTTGCCACTTGTTTATATGATACGTTCATGCAATATGCACATTCATTTCAAATTACTTTTGTAGTATCTCTAGCCTTCTAGGTCAGTCATCAACACTATCTTAGATAGCACTTCTAGTCTTCTAGTTTGATCATTCACACTATCTTAGGTAGTATTAAACTATTAATATTTATACATGGTCAGATTAGATTTAATTTACTCCCTTCGATGTTTGAAAATTTGAGAAAAGTACATGTGTAAACCTTATGCATGTTTTAACTTCGTATCTTAAATTATTCTTGCTACATTAGATGCTATAGACTATAGCCATCTGTTCTTGCATGTTAATAGTACGCAAAGAAAGAGTAGGGATACTGAAAAATGTGACCCCTTTGTTCTCTACTATTATTTATTGAATATTAATACATAGTTTATATAATTTTAAAGCTATATGAACAGTAGTTCAATACCCCTCCATCCCATAAATCTTGGCCAAATTCCTTTTTTAGCCGTCCCAAAATACTATGCCATTTCCAATTAAAGTAATGAATATGTGGCTAAAGTAGTTTCTCTTTCCTCTGAACTAATCTCAACCACACATTTTTTAACTTTATTATTATACGTGCAAATCAAACTTGGTCAAGTTTTGTGGGACGGAGGGAGTATTAAACACACAAGACTATATAAAATTATAAAACTATATTTAAACAAAATAAGCAAACAATTATGAGTTGAGTTGATAGATAGATGATAAGTAGGATAGGTTAAATGGAAAAGCGGGAGTATCTTTTTGCAAAATAGGAAATTCATATCCAACATTTTGTTGCATAAGTAGGCTATTTCTTTTTCCTTCTTTGCAGGTTGGAAATGTTACTGTCTCCTGTAAAAAGATTCCATTGCTTGCACTTGAATATGAACCTCCAAGGTTACTATATGATATTCTATCATTATCACTCCATTCCAAATTACTTGTGTTATTCATTATTCATAGGTCACTCCAGCTCTTTTAATATTGAATCTTATGTAACAAACATTTGTTAGAATCAATGATTCAAATTCAATTTTTGCGATTCAACAGGGCTTTAGTTTTAGTTTTTAAATATGTAAATTTTAACCACTAATTTAAATATTATTGTTAGGTTATAGAAGGTGAGCTGACCATAAAACCCTAAATAACTTACCAAAAATTATCAAAGAAGGTAAATACGAAAGAAATTAAGAGCAAATGAAGAAATGATAATCAAGATTCAAGAGTCTTAGACGAAAGCTCAAAGCTCAGCATATTAGGAATATGAAAAAGTTGTCCAAAATGAGGTAAGTAACGTAAGTTTAAGCGTTACAAGATGTTAGCCTAATTGAACTATTGAAGATACTACTGCCTAGTTTTTTACCGTTGCATGTTTCGAGACAAACCTTGGCCTTCTTCGGTCTTCCGCTACCTAACTGACTGGCAATCCCCTTTGGTCTGCCCTAACTATCTCTTCACACTGTTAGGTTTGTGAGATAATTATATCCAACAACAACAACATTACCCTCATGCCGCACAGGCTCCCACATATGGTGGGGTAAGGGGGTCAGATGTACGCAGCCTTGCCCCTATACTAAAGCACAAAGAGACTATTTCCGGATGATCCGTGATGAAAATCGCATAAAAAATTGCATGGACTGATTGACTTATGTTTCAAACAAAGAAGCGCAGACAGTTTAGTGAACCGTTTTGCTTTATTCCATCATATTCCCAAGCCAAAAAATAGTGAGTCTTTGGCTCCATTGGAAATTATGGAACGAGGTAATTATATCTATTATAAAAAATTAAACTTTATCTTCAACCAAGCCTTGTAATCCGAGTGAAAGACTATATTAGAACGAAGGGAGTATCAATTTTGTATATATTTTAGGGAGGTGGAGGTTGATCAAGAGAGTAGAGACGTCTCCTCTTGCATTGACTCTCACGTGAATATCATTCTACTACAACCCTACAGGGCCCTTGATACCCATGTAGTCAGTTTGATTATGTTTTCTTTCAATGTTTGATAATTTCCTGGCCTCTTGTGCCGAGGGAGGGGGGGTCTAATTGGTGCATTATTTACTCTTCTCAGGACCAAGTTGCTGAAAGCGGTAGAAGCATCATTGAGACTTGATGCAATAGCAAGTGCAGGGTTCAAACTCTCGCGTACCAAAATGGCAAGTCTCATAAGGTACAATTCATTCCATTTTCATTTTCATTGTAAACCACTTAAAACAGCCTTGGCCCTCAGAAGATGCAAACACATATGAGAAGTTATAGAAATATAGGTGGATTATAATCTATTACTTGTATAATGTCCATAAGGCAAACATTATTATGTTCCCAATTTCAATGCATGCTGTTGATGATGTTCATGAAGCTTCTCACATTTTGTTTTAGTAATGGAGATGTGCGTGTCAATTGGACTACTGTGATGAAAAGCAACACCACTATCAGAACTGGAGACTTCATATCTGTTGCCGGAAAAGGGAGATTAAAGGTACCTTTTATTGTTTACACTACTTGCTAGTTACTTGTTCGATCTCTTCATATCTCAATAAAGACGAACAGAGGGGGGGGGGATTTACAATCATTTTTCTTTCTAAATAGCAGTTCATGATTAAACAGAGGTAGAAAGTTGTTACCAACTCCACATGATCAAGTATGGAATATTTGATTCTGGGGTGATGCTAACCACAACCCTTGTGGCATTTTTTGTTTAAGAAATATTAAAGGAAATGTTTTTATGCTAAGAGGGAAAAAAGAACTCACCAATGATTTTAAAATATCCTCACACATGATTGATTCCCATTGAAAAAATATTTCCTTTTTAAAATTCTTAAACTAAAGACCATGTTCTGTTGGGGGGTGGACTGTGGAGGGGAGGGAAGCGGGTGGTTGACATTTGTCTCATTGCTTAATTTTAACAGTTAGATGGTGTTAAAGAAAATTCACATGAGAAATTATATCGAAAATACATGATTTATCTAAATATGTAGTTATTTCTAGACTGAGGCTAACAAACAAACTAACAAAGATAAGATTGCAAAAAAAACCAATCCTCTCATGTCCTCGCCTCCAAGATACCCCAAACTAACAAGACCTTAGGGCATTCTGTTAGCATTATTCTCAATTTGAATGTAATACTTTATCTGTGATCAGATTGGAGAAATAAATTCAACTAGAAAGGGGAAGTTTGCAGTTGAGCTGATCCGGTACATTTGAATTGTAAAGTTATGTCACCAGATAATTGGGAATGCGGCATAGTTTTGAACAAATATGTTATTTACTCATGGGATGAAATATTTTTTAATGTATTACCTGAAAAAGGCAACCCTGTGTCTTTGCCATTCTCCCATGTGTTAGCGGGGGTACAAAGGGGAGGGGCTCTTGCTCCACAGTTTATGTTTGAAACTGGTATTTTAACTATTTTTAACATAGGGATCTTTTCAATGGAAATATTTTTTCAATGTCCTCGCAAAAAAGAAAGATCTTTTCAATGGAAATATTTTTTTAGATTGGGTGAGAATGTTAAAGAAATGCAAATAGAACTTATAGGTTAGGGGTCTTTGTTTTTCATTTTTTGGGGAGGTGCAATGTTTTTTGACGCACTCACACCTTGATATTTGGGAAAAGGGTCAAAAACCCCTTTGGAGTTGTCCACAAAGGGCATCTATGCCCTTAAACACTTTTTTTGGGCAAAAAACTGTAAAGTCATTGAAAGAAGGGCAATCACCCCCTTGGCCCTTGCTAACGGTAAACCACTTAACGTGGCAAGTACGGAGTATTCAATTTGTTCATTTGCTTACTATGAACGTGTATAACAATTTATAAATGTATTTTTAATACTTTTTCTTTTAATTTTAGTTTGTGCTCTATTAAAGAAGTAAATTTAGAATACTTTGACCCTAAAATCAGGACATACTTCCTCTCTTCTTAAATAAGTGTAAAGTGTTGAATTTTACACAATTCACATGCTCTAGTTTAATCATGCTTCATTTATTAATGTATTAATAAATTATTATTTTTGAAAACATTTTTTAATTTGTAACATTGTAAATTTTCAAAATATGTTTTTTTATTAATAGAGAATTATACCCTCTCTGTCATTAATAAAAATCTATTCAAAATCTGTTTCAAAATCTGATTTGGGTACATTGTAAATTCATCATATTTCAGCTTAAATTTCATCATTATTTATATTTATAACATAATGAAGGTAAATGATTAGTTATCATATACTACGTATGATTAAATGTGATAATTCTATCATTCATGTTTGTTAATGTATATGTATATATGTGTTTTATACACACAAAAATACAATATTACGTATCATATTTATGCAACAATATAAATAAAAATGTAAATTCTATGTCTCCGACTAGTCCCCGCCTAGGCGTCCGCCTAGCCGCCTAGGGCCCTAGGCGTTGGACTGACGCCCGACTAGTGCCTAGCGCCTTTTAGAACAGAGAGTTGTGTGATGGAGAGTTGTACTAAAGAGAAAGAAATGTGTAAGAATTTTAAAAACATGTTTTGAACCACAAATTCTTTGAAAAAAAAGATTATTTTAAGACGGACGAAAAAGGAAATTTGAAAATTAATTCAGAGACAGAGCAAGTATAATTCTTTATTAATAAAACAGGTTTTGAAAATTTATAATGAGACAAATTAAGATTTTTTTTAAAAAAATTAATTTATTAAAACATTAATAAATAAAACATATTTAAAGTAGATCATGTGAATAGTGTAAAATTCAACATGTGATAAAATATTCTAGATTTACTTCTCTAGCTGACATTAAAAGAAAAATATCAAAAATAATGGCAGATTTAAATTGTTATATACGGTCATAGTAATATTCAAAGGAATAACCTTCAAAAATTTAAAGTAATCAAGGAACAAATTTAATAGTTGTCCATTCCGTTAACTAGTTCACCATTAAGAAGGGGATGGTTGCCCTTCTATTTGGTATAACCTCTGTTTTAGTGCGTTGAATATTGTAATGATAAAAATTTAAGATTTAATTGATGGATTCTAGTGAAGATGAATATTTTAGTATTTTATATACGATGTGATTTTTGTAAAAGCACAATTAATAAAATATATTTTAAATAAGAAAACTATAGCTTTGTGAAATACAAAAAAGTGAGTTTTCTTCTTCTAAAAATATGATTAATCTTTTGTTTAATTAATCCAATTTTGTAGTCATTGTAATTTATATCCAATCTCTAACCTTGCCCTCACTCACACACTTGTCTAGCCACTCTTGGAAAACTTCGCTACAAAAATTGATGTTTTGTTCATTTTTTTTCAATTTTTTAAACATTTATTAGGAAGAGTTTATGGCAGTGACAACATTAGTAACATAAGTGTCATGTTTTTTCAAATATATTGCCTTATATTAGTCACACTTTTGTCTCAAGTAAAAGTGATCAGTTTTTGGAAATTGGAAATGAGCTTCAATTTAGCCATTTAAAAAAGATCCCTTCAATATAACAAATTTAACCATTTTATTCAGAATTTAAGCGATTTTATTAAATTTAATTGATCTCAACGTTACTGAAGAGGCTCTTTATTTCATCTTGAATTCTGTACGAGTGCTTTAAAAGTGGCACCCCTAGTTGTTGGCGAATATTTTCCTTTTTTAAAGCTCAAATCTAAAAGTCAAGAATGTAATCAATTAGTTAGATGTGTCTTCATTTTCTACCATGGTGATGTAATTGCATACGGCAATTGCACTATTTGGATACTATAAATACCCGTTGTTAGGAGCTGTGAGAAAAATATATACCATCACAATGAAACATCTCTCTCTATATCCTCTCTTATATTATTGTTCTCTACTTTCTTTTTAGCACAAATATTAACCCGTAAGGAGTATTTATTGGGTATATTACTGGAAGCATGTGAGGTACTTTTTTTATACTACCAATGCTGTTATATTAAAATTTTTGACTGTATTTATGCAATGGTTTTCAATTATAAAGATCTCAGATGCCTTTTCTGTCTTTATTGTATACAAAGCCTCAAAAGCAAATTCCGACTCAAGGAGCACATCTTTAAATTCCTATTCAAGCTCACAATTATGAATTTATTTCTGCACTAATTGATCATAGATATCAACGTATGGTGTGAATAAGGTTGTACCTCATATCATATTGTTTCATTCTGTTACCTTACACTTAGAGTATATCAAGCTAATTCCCCCTAATGTTCAAATACAAGTTTGGTACATAGTTTTCTTTTCCCCGAAAAACACCAGAGGGATTAACATTACAGAGAGGAGTCAAAAACAAGAAGACAACCAATGAGAAGCAACTTGCTGAATAAGTACCTCACTGCTTTTCAAGGAAACCCTCCTTTACTATGGAAGTTTTGCTTTAATTTGACCGAAGCAACCTTCAAACTTAGTTGATGGAGGTGTCTTGGTCAACATATCTTTAGGATTTTCGGATGAGAAAGCCTTCCTAGAAATATAGTCTTATGCATCAACAACATCTATGATAAAATATCACTTTATCGAGAGATATTGTTGATACATGTGATATTACTTTTGGGAAGGCTTCCTCATTCGAAAGACTTGTTGATATATTTACCACACGCATGAAAAACTCATTGTACTCCCAATACACTTATGGACATTTTGGCTCTCATGCGGAAGAGTTTTCCCCTCTATTACTTTTTGGTGTCGTCGTTTCTCCGGTCTTTAATATTTTCTTTAAAATATTTGGTCTACATTCTTGAATTACATACTACATAAGCTTTTGTGCACTGATCCGCAACAAACTAGGATATAAGCTTCAGTAAATGGCCAACCACCTTGTGGTTCGATGACATTGTGACACTCTTAAGGAGGAGGTCACAGGTTCGAAACTCATCCTGATGTTGGAATTTTAACCAAACAGATACTAAAGAAAGAGAGAAAGTCCAGCCAAAAGAAAAAGCTTCGGTAAACGATCGAACTATGAGGTTTTTACTACACCGTATCAATATGATTGGATTAGAAGTATGACGGTAAAGTTAGTTTTGCTGTTTGATGACTCCGAATGCAAGTTGTTCTCCCATAAAGGCCCAAAGAAGGTTGTATATGAAGCAGGGCCAGTCCTATCCAGTTTTGGGCCTATGAGCGATATACTATTTTGGTCTTATTTTAAAAATAAACAGTAAATTATATTTACTTAAAGTAAAAATTACGGAGTATAATAAAACTATAAGAAATTACTCTAAATACGACTAAAACGCCGCAATTTATACCGTGCAACCGGCATACCATGTGCATGGTATGCCCGGTTCTAATACGGTGTCGTTCTTATGCAATTAAAATCGTTTTCCAAAATTTTATTCTTCCCATGCTTCCACTAACTTTTTTCCACTAACTTTTCTTCCTTACTTTCTCTCTTGTGCTGCTTTTCGTTTTGAAAATTGAAGCAAGTTCTATTGCTTTGATGTAATAGGCTGCTATGAATCAATTCAGATTAATACTTCATATAAACTTCTCCGTTCAGATTAATCTAACATGCTTTGATCGATGAGGTTAATTGGTTTTTACGTATAAAATGGAGTTACACTCTTTAATACAAATTTACATCTTAAGTTACATGGAGTTACATCTTTTTATGAACGAGTTACATATTCATGTGCATGAGTTACATCTTTTTATAAGCGAGTTACATTTGGACTTACCTCAACAACTTACATTTGTCATCAACACGAATTACATTTATAATAATTAGACTCTCTTTTTCATTGTTTACATTGAAATCAATGTTTTATTTCGTATACTATGTATTTGACAAGTTACATCTCATTTTGCTTGAGTTACATTGATCAAGAACTCGAGTTACATATCTTTACATGCGAATTACATCATCCATGCTACTGGAATGAAAATAAAAAAAAACACTGTACACGCGTGCACTGTTCACGCGTGTACTGTTCACGTGAAGTTTTATTATTATTCAAAACTACGTCGTTTTGGGGTGTGGAGCATGGTGCTCACCATGCTCCGGTTGCACGGTATACGGATTGCTAAAACGTTTGTATATTCGAATATCATGTTTTTTTCTCTAAATAGAAATAATCACTCTCATAATTATGGAAGTCTCTGATCATAGCCAATTCCCTTTAAAAAAAAGTGAATTCCGTTATGATAATTCGGTGAAGGAAATCAACGAATTAATGTTATGAGGGAAGGTTCATTGCTGCCACATTATGTAACTTATCCTATTATAAATAATTCTTTGTACATTTTTTTTTTAATTCTATTTGTACCAATAATTCAAGTTCTCCCTTCACCACCAGTATGATGGCTTTGATCCGTAACGACATGGGATTCATCAGGGCAGAAACGAATATTCCATCAAAAGCTCCCGATTTTGCAGATGGATTCAAAGTTGGACAGGGCAGCTTCGCACGGAGATTAGTTCTCGCTTGAACGGTCCTTGAAATGGAAAACGATCCCAGATTCGAACAAAACCGATGCCATCAATGGTGCCGGAAAATTCCTAAATTTGCAAGCCCAGTGCCCATAGGCTAAGATTCAGTTGTCTCGATGATCTTCTCTATGGCTATTCCTTTAGGGATGTTTTTAACATCTTACGGTGATTGAAGATAATCAGAAAAATGAAAAATCAAATACACGTCAGAAATATATGTTCATCCACTTGTTAACGAGCTCCTATATTGAACACTCGGATACACATACATTGGGACTTGGGACTTGGAACTGCATTCCTTCAAAAAAATAAAACACCTGGGAAATTGGTTCCCTAGACTTGAAATTTAATATGCGGCCTTCCAACCATCACACTGATTTGCCTTGTTCATCGAATCTGTTCTTTTATCTTACTTATCTTATGTATTTTCATACTCCGTACTACAATTGTTTATTAATAATAATTATAATATTAACTATTCTTTGCTTTTGCTCATTATTACTATATTAAAAGACTACTCCATAATTCATATTTTTGAAGTACTTATTTGATCTAGGAATCATACTATTAATTTATATAAATATATTTATAATTTTATTATATATTGGTAGGTTCCTAATAAGTCTGATGCTCATCGAAAGTGTTTTAATGCTCATAATAGGTCTGATGCACATTAAAAATTCATTAATGCTCATTTAACAGAAACTGTGATTTTCATTTTAATAGATGAGGTTAGATTATCAATCATTTCAATAAATGAGATTTGATGCTCAATGAAATATGTTGTTATGTCAAACTAACAAACTTTGCGATTTTCATATCAACGAACATTAATTTTGTAAGTTACGTATGCTCATCCGGTACTGATCTTATGTTCATTTTCTAAATGTCATATCAATGCATTTGTTTTAAAGTACTATTTTACATTAGGTTCACATATTGAAATTCATAGGAGTTGATTAGAAATATAATTTAATAAGTTTTTATAAAAGGAAAAATAACAAAAAGAAAGTGAATTAGAAGTTATGAAGCAGAGATCACGATTTTGAATATTAGACTTCTAATACGCAACATAATAGATCTGATGCTCATTAAAAGTTCATTAATGCTCATTCACCAGAAACCGTGATTTTCATCTCAATGACGGAGATTTGATGCTCAATTTAAATTTCTTGATATTCAACTAACAAATCTTACGATTTTCAAATCAATGTGCACTTTGTAAGTTATGTATGCTCATTTGGTACCGATGTTATGTTCATTTTTAAAATGTCATATCAATGCATATTTCAAAAGTATCATATCAGCAAATTAAACTTACCAAATGCGCATTGACATGATATAAAAATTGCCAGGTTTGTTAGTTAAGTATCACGACACTTTCATTGAGCATCAAACCTCCTCTCTTGAGATGAACATCACAGTTTCTGTTAAATGAGCATTAATTAACTTTTAATGAGCATCAAACCTATTTTGTTGAGTATTATGAGTCTAATGTTGAACATCATGATATCTGCTTCATAACTTTTAATTAACTTTCTTTTGTTATTTTTGCTTTTATAAAAATTTCTTAAACTATATCAATAATCAACTCTTATGAATTTCAATATGTGAATTTATGGTACTCTAGAAATATGCATTATATGACATTTTAAAATGAGCATAACATCAATACCAAATGAATATAGGTAACTACAAAATGAGGATTAATATGAAAATTATAAATTTTGTTAGTTGAGCATTAATACATTTTCAGTAAGCATCAAACCTCCGATATTGAGTACTAGAATCATGTGATTGAGTATCATGATTTGTGACTGCATGTTTATAATAAACTCTTATGTGAATATAATGTAATATGGTACTTTTGAAGTATGCATTGATATAACATTTTAAAATGAGCATAACAACGTTAATGAATGAGCATATATAACGTACAAAATGAGTTTTCAAAAATTCAAAACTCATTTGTATACACAAATGAAGAAGCTCTTAATTTAATAATCTTAATAATATTATTTTTAAGACATATTAAAAGTTGAAAGTAGATTAAAATGTGAATATTATAATCTGAATGTTTTATAAATTATGAAGAAGCTCTTTAAGTATCTTGACATCACGTGAAAAAGAAATAATAGGTTTTCACAAAAACATCTCAACATTAGATAAATGTTGTATTTAGTGATAAAAGGTTGTATAAACATCTTGTTTATAAAGCATGTCTAATCCAAAATCTTACTCCGAATGTTCTTTTGATATTTGTGCCTTTGGACACTTGATGATAGGGTTGTATACGAACCGAATCGAGTCGAATAATGAGATTTTGTATTTGTATTTGTTTAATTTTTTCGAATACGAATTCGAATTCAAGCATGAAACGAATATTAATTTCGATTTGTATTTGTTTAACAATACGAATAGTTAACGAATTATATACGAATATCGAATCGATTTGAGCATAGGTTAAATATTAGTCAAATACGGAGTATCACTTTAAAATAACTTTTCTTATACTCTGTATTGTTTATCCTCCGTCCGGCCGCCGCCGTTTGGGGCGGTTCCCGGTGGAGTTTTTTGATGAAATTTTTATGGAATGTTCCTCATCAAGTCTAGTTTATCCACAAAAAAATTCAGCTAAAAATTCGATCGGGAAGGCAGTCAAATAATTTTTTGAAACATAACTGCGTTTTATATGTTTAATTTGGAGTAGTTATCTTCAAAAAAAATTATTTGACTGCCTTCCCGATCGAATTTTTATCTTAAATTTTTTGTGAATAAACTAAACTTGATGAGGAACATTCCATAAAAATTCCATCAAAAAACTCCACCGGAAACCGCCCCATATGGCGACGACCGGACGGAAGATCCTGTCCCTCCGGCTGGACACGATCATTCCTCTATATATATATAGAGAGAGAGCTATTCCGGTCAGGAATTTCCTGACCGGAGCCCCGTCCGGCCTCCTCCATTTGAGGGCCTTCCTGGTCGTATTTTTTGCTCAAATTTTTTGTGTATGTTCCTCATCAAATCTAGTTCATCCATACCAAATTTGAGCAAAAAATTCAATCGGGAAGGTCGTCAAATGATTTTTTTCAAGTTAACTGGTCCGGAATATGTATTTTCCGGACCAGTTAACTTGCAAAAATGATTTATATTCCTCTACTTTGTGGACTAATTTTCTCAATGCTAGAATGCTAGATACCCAAGGGGGGATAGCTTGACCCCTAAAGTTACAGATTCTCCAATCTGGAGAAGGCTTTGTCAGATAAATAACAAAGCACTCAGTATCTGTGAACTAAACTCTTCTAATCAATGGGTCTGCACTGCTACCAACAATGGCCTTTTCTCATTTAAGTCAGCCTATGAGGAAGTCAGACAGAGTTATTGTTCTACCTTTGTTAACAAACACATTTGGCATAAGAAACAGAAATTAAAGATTCAGATATTTCAATGGAAACTTCTTAATAGGTTTCTACCAATAAGAGATAATCTGGATAGATTTCATGTGATTTTAAACCCCTCTATGTGTCCTTGGTGCAAAGCTCACTCTGAAAACATGAATCATATCTTTTATGTACTTAAATATTCATTTGTGTATGCTCATTTCATTTAACCGTTATATTTATCTGTTTGAGTGTAACATGAAGCTCATTTCTATAACATGCACATATAATAGATTAATTATTAACAATTTACTAAACTATCAATATGTGTAACAATGATAAATATAATAAATTCTAGTTTCCAAAAAAAATTATAATTTGTTGTTCTTGAACTAAAAAATATATTTAATTATATTCTTTTCAAATATGCATTGATATGACATTTTAAAAATGAGCATAACATCAGTATCGATTGAGCATATGTAGCTTACAAAATAAGTATTAATATGAGCATAACATCAGTGCCAAATGAACATATATAACTTACCAAATGAGCAATGATATGAAAATCATAAGTTTTGTTAATTACATAATGAGTATAACTCTTCTATTAAATATTAAAAGAATACAATTGAGTATCATAATCTATGCTCATAATACAAAATGAGCATACAAAACCTACAAAATGAACATCCAAAAATTTAAAAGCTCATTTTAAATATGTACACTACTCAATATACTCTTATGTATGCTCATTTCCTTTTCTTTTGTAAAATCTTATTAGGTGAGCAGCGCACCCCTGCAGAATACGAAACGGCAAACCTCAGGCTACAAATTTGCAAATGAATCTGCAAATTTGCTTGACAAATTCATCTACGTAACTTCAAATACTACATATATATGTATTGTTAGTGAATTCGTGTTAGCTATTATTATTATTAGCTATCTTATGTACATATTTTATTTGTAACATTTTATTATGCATGTACGTACGTAGTTGTAGAATTAGAATAGGAAAGATTTAGTCATTAATATTTTTCCTTTCTTTTCTCCTTTGAAAACGCATAGCAGTACTCGGTACAAGGAAAGCACCGATACCCACAACCTGTATATATTGCTGGCTTCCTTCTCATTGAAGGGCAGATCAATAATAGAAAAATTCTCCCCATATTTGCTACTAATTTTACATGGTATCAGAGCGTCGATCAGGGACCAACTGATCACGTTGCTGCAACGAGGAGATGGCCGGCGAAACAGGGAGCGTTGGTGCAGGAAATCATGACCATGGTGAGCGACGGAAAATTAACGATCCCTCCTCACCTTACTACCTCTCCAGTTCGGATTTTCCCGGATTGCATATTTGTGCCGTCACCCTTAAGCACTACTAGAAAAAGGACTTTTAATCATGAAAAAAGTTGTCGTTATAAGCCCAAAAGTTTGTCGTTAAAGCTTTTAACGACCAATATTTTTTGGTCGTCAAGTGGTTGTTATAGCTTCCCTCGTTATTGGTTATAACGACAAAGTTCGTCGTTAATAATTAACAATGACATGTGATCCCGTCGTTACTTAATAACGACAAAAAAAATACATGTCGTTAGATTTTAACGACAATATAACATTTAATTGTTATTGAAAACGACAAGATATTTTAGCATCGTTATAATTTTGATACAATTCTTTATTCTAAATGAAATAAAAATACATGTGCATTCACATACCAAAATTTTAATCTTTCAATAGATTGAACGATCGACAAATATCTTTTAAATACAATAATCATTGTAAATTGACACAATATAATAATCATCCACATAAGTAAAATCAAATCTCAATATTTATTGTAACATGTACATGTATCATCAACTATATGAAAAAGTGAATACAAAATCACATATAAAGTAGCAACTCTACGACACTGCTGGAACTTCCCATCTTTAAATAACTGCAAATCCTGCAATAAAGAGCATAGAAAATTACATTTTGAAAAGTACTTGCAAAAAAATGAGTGTAAAATTACATTTTGACTGCACCATTCAAAAACAGTACTTGCACTGCTAGGCAGAAATAGAAAAATGGGAAAGTTTACCTCAACGTTAGAAAGTGAAGGATCTTTTTCCATTATCTGACAAATTTCTTCCTATAAAAAGAGGATCACAAGAAATCAAAACTCAAGCAGAAAATTAAAATTTTATAAATTTCTTCTGCATGTATATATAGATACCTGTGTGTAATGGATTAGTCTGCAAACCAATAACTTATCCTGTCAATCTTCTTCTAGCCTGTCATCTTATATATATCCTCTAACCTTGCATATGGTGTCAATCTGCTACAAGTAATGCACTGCTATTCTGGACTCACGTTTCTTTTCTTAATTAAACTCATTTTGTGCATGGAACGTACAAGTCAGAAAATAAGAGTGCTGGACTAAGGTTTCTTCATAATTTTCCATTAATACAGTTAGAAGGAAACCCCGTGATCAGCAAACACTAGTTAGAAAGAAGTTAATCAAACTGTAACACATTACCATTTACGAGTTGGATTTTTCCTAAAATTCGGATCAAACTCGAGTTCATGAACATCATCAAACATGCTTCTTGTCACTTCTTTTCAATCAGAACATTATTTTTTGAATTACCAAAGCCAACCCTGCCACAATAAGAACATTTGGTTCAAATATTAAATAATAAAAGTAATGGTAGTTGAAAAAAGTCAAAAACAACTAATAAATGCCAAACACTTACCATTTGGATCTTATTGAGCTCTTGAATGCAACTGTATTTCATCATCACCAACATCATCCAACATGTTTCTTCCTCTCTTTTTTCAATCCAGCTACTCTTTTGAGAAATAAAAGAGCTGTCACATTCAATATGAGAATTTTCATCTCAACTGTTATAATAAAAATAACAAATAAAACGATTGTTGAAAACATACCTTTTCCATTTGTTTCTATTAAAATTTTCCAATGTAACTCTTAATTGATTCTTGGTAACATCATCAATAACATTTCTATCTCTCTTTATTTTTCAAATGCAATATTCATCTTAGAAGTACAAGAGCCATGTCCATAAACTATGAAAAATTTGAATTAAAAATTTGAAATATTAAATGATCAAGTGAAATAAGAATAAATAAAAAAAAAAAGATTATTAATTGTCAAACCTTTATCATTTGAATTTACTAGAACCTTGAAATGTAGATCTACTTCAGTTCCATTAACATCTTTAGATATGTTTTCACCAACCTAAAAGAACTGACTTATAAGGAGATCATTCCCAATTTTTCATCCCTTTGCCAACATTTGAAGTGGTACACAAGACCTTTTAAATCTTGGCATAGAAGGCTTATATGTATTGTGGTTAAGATGAAACATTTCCCTCTATGTTAGTAAAAGATCTATTATATTCATTCTTTTAAAAGGTAGTAAGACAAACCAATACAAATGTCAATCAAAAGTAGTTATTGGTCAAGGATTTAGACTCAAATAAAACCAATTAAAGATTTTAAGCAGACACCACATAAAGATTATTAGTTAAGTGGATCTTGAAGTTCAAACTCCTCAAAGAATAATAGTTGTAAAAGTGTGGAGGAAAGAAAAGAAGAATTCAATAGGGCAGGGGCTTGGATTTTTAGCTCTAATAATTTAGCCGGGTGTGATAATGGATAAAATGAAAGTAAATTAAAGATGCTCGAACCTTTCCAGCCCGGTGCACTAAGAGCTCCAAACGTAGACGAAAAGCCAGGCGCCCTTGATTCTATTTCAACTGGTAGCAATAGATTAGCTAGAAGTATGACTGAAAAGGAGCATATTGCTAGGTTTGGAACTAGTAATAGAGTGGCCATATTCAGGATAGGGAAACTGATCACAAGGATCCTGATTATGAAAACGGCTATGACAAATACTTGCAAAGCTTAGACCTTGGATTTGGATTTACCAGAGGACCTTATGCTATTCAACCATTGTATGCACCTGCTTTGAACTACAATTCTGAATTTCCTCAGCTTGGATCAGCACATCAGCCTGCTATCTCCCATGAACACCAATGTCGCCCTCTTCCTGCACGATTCTCATGATGTCATACTATTTTTTAGGCATTAAAAATGTACCAGCTTTACCTTTTTAAGTTCTATTTAATCTAATCTTTCCCAAGTAAAAAAAATTAGATACTGATTTAATAAAACTTCATACTAATGTAATAAAACTAATTAAAGTTACCGATTGAATACAATGGGTTAATCTGATGGAAAAACAGATAATGCCATTACAACGAATAATTATTGTTACTGCTATATATATGAAAGGTCTTACCATATGATATTCAAAGATCAAAATCTACCATATTGAGGTAGTTAAGTTAGTGAGGCTACCATATCTAAGTTTCCATTTAGATTAATTAATTTGAACCTTCTAAAAGATTAAATTTGAACTTTCTTCAAAACAGAGAAATGTAAAGGCAAATGACTAGAGAAATTGTTAACTGCAAATAATGACATATAATGACTTGTAATGACTTAAATTTACTTATAAGGCAATACCAGGGGACAAAATATACTACTTCATAATAAAATTATTAATTAAGGATATACACTTCAAATGCTTCTAAACCTCTGAATTATTGTACCACCATTCATAAATATCAATCAAAATATCACAAAAAAACACATAGTAGGTTAAAAATGTGTTCTGGAAACAGAGTACTTAATTTTTTCAATCAAAATATCAGCAAAAATAGAGTAACTCACACATGGAGACTGGAGTGGTCGAGATAGACAACGAAGCCAGGCTGGCTGGGCGCACTCACCGGCCATTTCTTTACAAACGGCTTTGTCTAGAGTCCAGAAAAGAGTCGAACGACCCCCAATTTGGTAACCCTTGACAACCCCGACAACCCTACCTCTTTTTTTAAAAAACTAATTGACAGGCCACCTCTTTTCGATTACGGGAGCTCAAAAATAGCGCCGGAAAAGCCCGACTTTATGACGCAGTTTCGCTTCTCGAAACCCAGGCACTTTTCGACTGCTTGCCTGCGTTTTGTCGATTAATGAGGCTTTTAACAATTTTAAGAAGATTGGGCCAGCCTAAGTGGAGAAACGTACCTGTATAGGACGACTGAATCGTGGAATTTCTGAGTCGAAACAGTTCATCGGAATTGACGGAGTATGAGAGACGAAGACGGGGAGGTCTGGCTTCAGTGACGAAGGCGGCGAGGTCTGGTTTCAGAGAGATGATTGCGGCGCAGGTTTGGCTTGAATACTTCAATACGAGAGACGAGAATGAAACAAATTGGAACATAGGGTTTGTTTTCTAATCGATTTTGGCGGTACGTCGAAAAGAGTTTAGAAAATTTTGGCGGCATACTGAAAGAGTACTCCGTACAATTAATCTTATTCAAAATTTTATCAAATTGTTTGATTTTTGCCTCAATGAAAATTTTAAAATGACATATAAGAAAAAAATTATTAAGTAGTAACGATGACTACAAATTAATTAATAATGACGACTTCTCATTTTGGTCGTTGAAGTTAAATTTTAATAACGACGAAATCATTTGTCCTTGTTAATAGAAACTTTTGACGACAATATTTTAGACTTGTCGTTATATGGTGGTCGTTAAAAATCATTTTTCTTGTAGTGAAGGGTGAGAGCAACTACCGGGAGTGGGCTACGACAATGAAAAATGCGTTCCGCGCAAAACGGAAACAGGGTTTTCTTGACGGAACCATTAAGCGACCTTTGAACAATGAGAGAGATCTCGAGGATTGGCTCACCGTCAATTCTATGGCGGTGGGATGGATTATGACATCGGCGGACCCAGCTCTGCGATCCAATTTGGCCTATATGGACAGTGTGTGTGACTTGTGGAAGGACATGGAGGCACGATTTGCCGTCGGAGACGCGATGAGAACTTATGAATTGAAAGAATTGATTCGAAATTGTCGTCAACAAGGGGAACCAATAACCACCTATTTTGGCCGACTTAGGAGCCTGTGGGATGACTACGACGGACTCCGGAATGTACCTCAGTGCACCTGTAACGGGTGTACATGTGACCTCAAAAGGCTGTTTATGAAACATGTTGAAAACGAGAAAACTCACGATTTTTTGATGGGTCTTGATACCGAGACCTATGGAACCTTACGCTCTAATGTGCTTAGTGCGGATGAACTGCCATCGTTGACAAAAGTGTACAACATGATAGTGCAAGAGGAGAGGCTCCAGAATATGACCCGGGGGTGTGAGGAGAGACGCGATGCAGTGGCATTTGTTGCACGGACCGGAGTTGCTGCGGGAAAAGATGAAAGAATGAAATGCACCTATTGTCAAAAATCTGGACATGATTTTGACAATTGCTTCCGACGGACCGGGAACTACCCGGATTGGTGGCATGAAAACCCGGCTCGTGCGCGAGGTGGAAGAGGACGCGGAGGTAACGGCCGCGGTGGTCTCGGGCGTGGAGGTTCTGGCAGGGGACCAGGACGTGGAGCCGCACATGCTATGCATGTGG